TGTATGAGGGCCCGGTACGACGCTCCGGTGGCATTGCTACCCCCCAGGGCCCCCGTCCCGCCTAACCCTGGAGCGGTTGACCACGGGATCTAGCCCTTTGACTTTGCACGGACGGGCTTTGACCAGTGGATCTCTCCACCCGGTTGTGTCGGGTCGGCCCAGAGGGACACCGGGGAGCAACATCCGGGCCAAACCCACAGCTAAATCCACTCCATGTAGACCAGACGCGTCCGTTCCCCCCCCCCTCCAGGTGCCGGCGGCGGCGCCGTCCGTGACGGGGCCACACCCCAGAGATGCGTGCCGCCTCTTCGGACATGCCATAACACCATCTGGTTGTGGTAGGTCATCCGATATATATAAACACTTGGAGCAAAGTCCCCTTCGTATAGACCCGATGCGGCTGTTCCCCATTCCAGTTGCCGGCTGGCGGCGGCACCGTTCGTGAGGGGGGTCACAACGCTTTGTACAAAACCGAAAATAATGTATGTATGCTTATTAAACATACTGTATGTAAGTTAGTTAAATAAAAATAATAAAGAAAACAGTGAAGAAAAAGAAAAAAACTATATGTATGATTATTAACACATACTATATGCTTATTGACACAATCTATAGGTATGCTTATTAACACATATTGTATGCTTAATAATAAAAATAATACTATATGGAAAAAAGAAAAAAAAAAGAAAAAAAACTATGCCGACGGCAAAGCCGTCGGCATAGGTGCGGCCAGGGCAGATGGACAGCGCCGCAGATCGATGACGTGTCGGCTATGCCGACGGCTGCCATCGGCATAGCTCCTGGTCGGTGCGCTCTAGATCGGTGACGTGTCACCTGTACCTATGCCGACGGCCACCGTCACGACCGTCGGCATAGATTTGACGTCGTTAGCCGGCCGTGATGACAATTGTCAGCGGGCCCGCATCTATGCCGACGGCCTATATATGCCGACGGCAGCTGTAGGCGTAGTCTGGAATAAGCCGACGACCTATATATGTCGACGGCTGCTGTCGGCGTAGCCGCGGATAGCCCGACGGCCGTTGTACGCCGACGGCCAGGAGCTAGCTGTCGGCATAGCTCGGACTAGGCCGACGGCAGCCGTCGGCATATATTTGGCTGTCAGCGTAGAGCCCTGTTCCGGTAGTGCGGCAACGACGTTGAGAA